TGGGAGCGCTTTGCTAAGTGCATTTGCATAAATTATTGGTAAGAGTTGGGTGCTGTGTCTTTGAGAGCACCATCCTCCTCTGGGGGAGGAGGGAGAAAGCAGGGGCTGTTTGCAGGGACACCGGGATGGGTTTGCAGGGACTCTGGGACATGTTTGCAAGGACACTAGGATAGGTTTTCTCTGCTGCCACAGAGCCCTGCGTGGGCAAGAAGGTGGGTGGGCTCCACCATCACTGAGGGACACTTCAGCAGCCTATTTCCAGCCTCCAATGGCATGGGATACCCATCCTTGAATGTGAATTTGACATTTGGATGTTATTTCCTACTCCAGATGTTACGCCTTTACAGGATATTCCCTCCAACAGGATGCTATTTCTTTTATTCCCAGGAATTTATCCTGGAGCAGGGAAAAAAGGGGAAGATGCCCCACTGGAAAAGGTGGAGGACAGGAGCTTGGGGCAATCCTAATGCTTCCCAGAATATTCCCTAAGTCTCATTTTTGATGCGAGTTGCTCTTTGTCCCTTAGTCACCAAGTCAAACCTTGGGGTTTGAGGTTTGTAGGCAGTTTAGAGGGATTTTAAGGGTTTGAGGGATTTGGGATTGCAGGATGACTGGTGTCCCCCTGCCTGGTGCCAGGGGAGCAGCCATTACCACACTGGGAGTGCAAACACATCTGGCTATAGAGCAAATATATATTCTTTACATGTCTACACTGGGTGTGATCATTGCACTAGAACTGGAGCTGAGAGTTGTTTTAATAACAATATTTTGAATATTTAAGGGATAATTACACACAGACTTGGCTCGCTCCCTCCAAGCCTTGGCTTTTGTCTTCAGATGGTGTCTCTCGACATTTAACAAATGACAAATGTGGGGTTTTTTTCCCAATACTTGTTTTATTAACCCTTCAAAAGGCACTGGTGCCACTATCACTAGATGATCTTTGAGGTCCCTTCCCACCCAAACTAGTCTATGATTCCATGATGAAGTTGCTGGCCTGGTACTGAGCAGTACCTGTATCATGACCCACTGGGTTAAGTTTTGATTTTGCTTTTCTGCCTCAGCCTGTAGAAGGGATTTCTTCACACAATATTTGTAATCTATTGGTGTATTAAACTACTTGTCACAACTCCCAGGTTTTGCTAAAAGCATGAGCATTAAATACAGGTAAAACAGCTCTGATGACACAGATCATGAACACAATAAGTGATTATTAAATTATAGTGGCCTTAATCCTTGCCATTCCTGTGAGGATTCACCCAAGTATTTACCATTATGATTTGTCATTTACAGCAGTGGTGCCATGATTTTTGGTTGGGAGAAGAATTAGAAATTGAGAAAGTTTGCAGGTGAGGGAGGAAGGTCGGGTTGTTTTTTGCCTGAATTGGCCAAATCAACACTCATAAAGCAGATCCTTGCTAAAGGGGCTGAGATGCCAAGTCTGAGAGGAAGAGCCCAACAGCAATTATTGCACCTTTCACCATATGGCAAAATAATTACTTTGCATGAGCATCAGCTTCATGAGGAAGCAAAGAAATGAATTGTAATTCAAGATCAGTTTGTCAGGAAAATGAACATATTTTGAATGCCCAGAGCAAGGTCTCGTGTTCTCCATGGGGGTCTCAGCTGAGAACCAAGACAAGTCTCCCATGGGCAAGACCTGCAGTGAAACCCTGTCCCTTCCCATACTCTGGAAGGAAATCCTCCTCCTCCTTTTCCCTTTCCCCTTCTCTGAGAAGGTTGCCTCTCTGGTGGCCATGGGGGACAAGGGGAGCAGTTCCTTCTGCCACAGACCTGCCCAGAGACCTGCACGTGTTTAAACCCATTTCAGGAGTATTTCAGTGCAAATTTCCCAACTCCCTTCTGTTCATTAACCTTTCCCGGAGTGCTAATTCTGCATTCAAACAGAAGGTCAAAGCCCTTAGCTGATTTTTTTTCAGGAGAATTAAGTGTCTTATCTGCAATCTTCTGGAGAGAAATACCACGCCAGGAGACTCCTCAGAGCCTCTTGACTGTGCTGCCGCCGTCGCGCTTCCTGAGGAGCCACAGCTGCCAGGGGAGCGGCTGTGCCTGAGCCGAGTCACTGAGCATGATTAACTTTGGGAAATTAATTTCTTAAATGTACCCTCTTACATCGTAGCCTTTTGCAAAAAGGTGCTTAAGGCATTGAAACCGAGACCGAGACACTTATTGAAGCTCCCACGATAAAAATGGATAGACTGGAAAAACCCAGGTGTCTTTTCCACGCCGTGTCTCATCAGCCATCCCTGCCCTGTTGCAGTTGATGGAAGGGCACTGTCCCCACACCCCACCCTTGAGGGTGGCAGAGTGGATGTGTCCAGCTTGGGTAGGGAAGTTTGGCTAAGTCAGAAGGACACCAAGGAGCTTTTGGGTTTGTTTGAGTTGAACTAAGAGCCCTTCTTGTTAGAGAGGGTGGGAGCTCAGGTCTCAGTGCACAAGGAAGGACACCCTGTTGTCTTTGGTGGCTGTTTGCCTGATGCCTGGCTTTAAGGTCCATGTTATGGGTTGGGAGCTCAGTCCGAGAGTTGCAGTCTCCTCCTCCCACTCCCCTGCCTTCCCCTTCTCTGTGACTGGGGAGAGAAGGGCACCAGCTGATGGAGACCAAGAGACAGGGATCAAGATATGAGGACCAAAAGACAGGGATCAAGAGAAGGGACCAAAAGATGGAGACCAAGAGACATGAACCATGACATGAGCATCAAGACAAGCACCAAGACACAGGGACCAAAAGATGGGGACCAAGAAATGGGGGCCAAGAGAAGGGAAACAAGAGATGAGAATCAAGACACAGGGACCAAGGCTTTGGGAGCAGCACAGGGGAAGGCGTCTTGCCCCATCACACCATTTGTCTTTCTGCTACTCATAACACAAATCTGGGGAGCATTTGTGCACCTGTCTTGCTAAAAATCATTTAGAAATGAGTTACAGGGATTTATGATCTGCAATTTTTGGCAAGCAGACATTAAATCCTCTTTATATAGAATATAGAGGCAAATTAGACCCATTGCTCCCCTGGCCCAGCCTCCCAGGCTCTCTGTTTTTAAAAGGTTGAGGGGGGATGAATTTGCAGTAGTTTCCTCCAAAGTTAACTTGGTTTTTCTTACGGTAATACATGTAAAAAGGTCAAGGATAATGAAGGAAACGGTGAATTCGAAGTTCTGTGGAAGAACAACTCAGCGCTTTCAGCAATTCACTTAAATGGGAGAGGAGAACCAGTTCCTTGAAGGTTTTAAAGCTTTCACAGCCTAATGAACTGAGCTGCCTCCCACAGTTTCTGCTGAGACCAAATTCCTGCCAGGAACTGTCTCATTAGGCTCAAGTGGTACAGCCAGCCTGTCCTGCAGCTCCCACCACCTTTCGCTCTCTTGGCTGTGCCACGGCTCCACCTGGACTGACACATCCAAAATATCAAACACATCTGAATGGCTGCACCTCCCAGCCAGAATTAACCACCCCGAAGGAGAGGAAAGTCTGTTTTATATAAAAAACCTGGATACATATATACAGAATGGAGGAAGGGAAGCCTGGCCCTGCCATCTCACCCTCAGCCACCCACCAGAAAAGAAGGCTGCTGCTGTTCCAGCTCATCTTGGAGGGTTATTCTCACTTGTGGTTTACATTTAAGTCGCTGTCGTGGAGGTTAATGGGAGTGATGTGCTTCTGACTCTAATGGGGATGAGAAGTGGGAAAATGATGTTATTGCACATAAATCGTGGTGTGTAATGTGCGAATTGTGTTTTGGTTTGGGCTGAAAAATAATAAAGAGAGGGATGAATGAGCATTAGGAGAGAACAGATTTCCCCCTCTAGATACTGAGGAGAATATTCATCATCATTACAGGCAGTTTGTTATCTGGCAGCATAGAAGAAGAGGGTAGGAATAATGAGGACTCTAATATTTGGCTGATAAGAGGGGAAAGTCCTGTAGCTGTCGGGGCTGGAGCAGCACTCTGCTGTCCCCTCCTCCCTGTCCTTAAATTCTGGCTGCTGAAGAAGTGTAATTTATTCTGCTACTGGGGGCCAAGGCGTACCTGCCTCCCACTGCCTGGGGCTGAGGCACTGAGGGATTGCAAGGAAATCCCTGTTAACTGTGCTGGTTTTCACGGATGTTTGTGGGTGCTTCAAAGTTCACTGCGTGGGAGAACCCAGCGCCGTGCAGGGAGGGAGCCAAGGAGAAAGTCCCTCCTGCATTTCTCCCATCACCGAGATGGCTCTTGGCATAAATTGACTCCAAACCTCGGATAACTGGCAGTCAGGAGTTGTGGAGCAAGCACTGTGCCATGGCTGCAAAGTGGCTGGGGACTAAAATGCACCCATTGTAGCTCCCCCTCAGAGACCCCACAGCCTCGCTGAGTCCTTCCCAGACAAAGGCAGAGCAGCCAGAGCGGGTGGGAATCACCCCCTACCCCCCATCCTGTAATGTGGATTTTCATCCTACCCAGTGATGGGGAAGCTTAATATGCCCTAAAATATGAATGACTGAAAACTAAGCTTATGAGAAGTGGCAAATGTGCTGATCTCTGCATTTTTAACATGAGAATTTTCTAATAAAAAGGAACCTTGGAGCTCTTCATGAATTAGGCATAAGGGGATAGGAACAAACAGGTACGTGCTCAGCGCTGAAGGTGCCCCTGTAAAACCTCCCCTGCCCTTGCTCAGACAGAACTCTTGGAGCAGGATTTACTGAGAATCCCTCACAAACCATCCCCAGACTCTGTGCCAGTGCCTTGGCCTGGCTGTTTCCAGTTAGATTATGGACTTTGCCAATTACAGTATAAATCCCCTCCTTTGCCCTCAAAGCTCAACAGAGGAATACAAATAAGGACCAAACCCAGCCCAAATACAGGTCTGCCCCTGCCATGGCCGTGCTCATGGCTGGTCAAATTCAAAGCAAATTCTTCCCTCCCATGCCAATACTGATTTCTTTGCTCTCTTCATATTAAGGCTGAGTGGAGAATTTTTAATTCCTGGGGTTTTTTTAAATTCTATTTTTTCTGTAGCATTTTCTTGTGTTAAAGGATTTTGTGTTGCCAGCAGTAGCATGGAGTGGGGAGGTGGCCCCATTCCTGCAGGGATGGGGGGGCACCCAGGCCCCTCACTCTGCCCCAGCTCAGGGCCACCTGAGGGAGTTGAGTGTACAAGGGGACATCAAAGGGGATGTGCCAGGTTTTGGGTGGCACCACAGCCCCCATGGCAAACCCTGCATTGCCAGTGCTGAAGTGTCAGGCTAAACTCCATACTTTTTCTAAACTTCCTCACATATATCAGTTTATGCAAGAATTTTAAAATTATTTAAGATTCTTTTAAAAGAAATGCTTTTTCTCTTCCCTTTTTTCTCCAAAGAAACAAAGCCTTCCATGGCAGCTGTGAAATATGGATTATTTACCTCCAGACTGGGCACAAATCTGATCCAGCCTTAGAAGTAAATGCATATTTAGTCTTTAAGGCATATTGTTTATCCATGTAAATACATATTTTGGTATACACATTCTTCATAACACAGTTCCGTGGACTCAGTGGAGGTTTTGGTAGCAGAACATTTGCCATTGTCTATCTAGAACACTTGCTCAGAAAATGTGCAAAAAAGCAGCTGTCACTGTGATGGGTTTTAACACTCCTGTGTCTTAAAAACAGCAACAATTAGAAAAAAAAAATCTATTGAACAGTTTAAAAAAAAGCTGTCTAGCTCTGATGGATCCTGCCAAGTTCTAAACCCTTGAGAAACAAACTGCATTTGTTGCAGGACTTGTGAGACATCCTTTCATTGAGTATTAGGATCACATTCCCGACCAGCAGTGCCACTGCTCTGCGTGGTCCCAGAGCCTTGGGGGTGGCAGCCCCAAGCTACTGCACAAGGAGGAACTTCCAGACTTTGGGGGTTCCAATGTGGACAACAACCTTGATATAAACATTCAGCTAAGCCATTTATTTTTTGCATTTGAAAGGTAGGAATAAATATAATAAGATTTCCCCGACAGATATGAACATTATGGGTCAGAACTTTGAAGAACATACACTCAAACAGTTGGCTAAAGCGCACCCCACAAATTACAGGGTTGGAACGAGATGGGCTTTAAGGCCCCTTCCAACACAGAATATTCTCTCATTCTACAGTTCCTAAAATGTGGAATGTTGTGTTCAATTTGCATCCCGGCCCATTTTGAGAGAACATTCTGGTAAGTCCCAGCCTGTACAATCACCAGGTATTCACCAAGCATCCAGCACGGATTCACCAAGAACCAAGTGTCTTTATTTGATCCACTCTGCCTCCAGCTCCAAATCAGCCATAATTGGGGTTGCAGAGTCTCAGAGCACCTTCAGGAGACCAAACTCTACAGACTCTGAGGACACCCATCCCAGCAGCCTCATCCACCCACTCCCAGGTCACTGCTGAGCACGCAGCTCCCACAGACGGCAATCCCTGTGTCACTAAAGGAATGCCATTGGCACCTAAAGATATTTGGGAATTTGGCTGGATTTTTTTTTCTTCTTTTTGGACCTGACAATAATTATGTCCCCCCCCAAGCAAAAATTCAAACATAGGACTAAAAACCTTGTACCTGTCATCCAGTGGTTCTACCTGGTCCGAATGCAAACAGTCAACACTTAACTATGTATTATCTTTCTATATTTAATAAAGCTGCTGTTCATTCTGTTCTGTTGCTGGAAAGATCAGGTTCCAGATATCAGGGATCCCTGGAATGCAATATATCACCAAAATGCAGGATCTGATCCAGCCACAGCATAGAACCACCTCTCAATTCCATATGAGATGAGGCATATGGGTTGAGTTATCCCTAACCTTGTTTTTTTTTCTTTATCAAACTGTACTGCCACAATTCTTCCTGCAGCACCACTGTTTCATAGTGAATGGATTCTAAAACAGAGCACTTTAAAGCTGCAATACAATAGAGATCAGAGTATTAGGGTTGTGTGCAATATAATTTTAGTTGAATTTGTACTCTTTCCTTACAGAATGGATTTTGTCATGTTATTCCAGGTTTTAAAAAATGCCACATTTCTGAAAATAGTGACTGCTTAGCACACAGCTGCAAATAACGGGAGACATAGTTTGGTTTGTCACTGAACCTGTAAAGTGACCCAGGACACCTCTTTGGATTCAACATACCTCTGTTTATGCCCTTTATCAGCAACTACAGCAGATTCACTGCATATTCTGGCTGCACACTGGGACAGCAGATATTGAGTGTAGCAAAACTCAGAGTCCTCCTTGACAAAAAAATGGGATATCTGTGCTGTTTGGGACTGTTGAGTACACCCAGGGCTCAGCTGGTGCTGCTCTCTGCCAAAACCTGCTGTGAGGAGAATTAATGTTGTACTGTAATGTTTGTGTCCGCTACTTGAGCTCATACACAGAACATGGGAATGATCATGGTGAGAAGTGGGGGCTGCCCCACCCCTGGAAGTGTCGAAGGCCATGCTGGACAGGGCTTAGAGCAACCTGGTCTAGTGGAAAGTATCTCTGCCTGTGGTAGGGGGTGGGACTGGATGAGCTTTAAGGTCCCTCCCAACCCAACCCAGTCTGGGATTCTGGGATAATGGTTTTGCTATTAGTGTCATCAATAGTTGTTTGAGAGCAAGTCAAGATGTCTTGGGGTCACCAGGGCACCTGGGACTCAAGGACTGTTGGCCACAGTCGTGCCCCAGCAAGCCCCACAGATGGCAGTTTGAAATCAGGTGTAAACTGTGAGCACATTTCACGGTAACACTGTCCAGGGGTTTTAAAAAATAAAAGCAACATTATGCACTGTTTTGAAACTTGATCCTCATGGGCTGCAGGACTAGGAAATGGTGTGGGGGGACTGCCCTGCTGGGGGAGGGACCTGCACAGTGCGAGCACAAGTCCTGCCTGGAAGGATGACCCTACTGTGGACGGCAACATGCACTTCAGTACCATTACTGGAGCAACCTCCTTTTAATAGATATATGTATATATATAAAATTCTGTTTGATACTTTGTGTATTTTCAGATATCTAAGATTTAAAAGCATCCTTTATCATTGCTAAATTAGCCAAACCAGTACAAAACGAAGTGCAAGAAAAATACCAATTCCCATCAGTTTTGCCGGTAATACAAAAGGGGACAATTCAACTTCTGCCATTTACAGTCATGTAGGAATTTGGATTTAGGATGAGTACAGGAAACCTTCCTACATTCAAAAGATGCCTCAAAATAATTTGTGTTGTGTTTTGTAATGGGAAAACTAATTTTTACAGAGATCACCTACTGGTTAGTGGTGGTGGAGGTAAAAACAAAAAGGACTTGGTGCTATCCTTGACCTAAACCCTGTGTGTGGAGCAGCTCGTGGACCTCCTGGAGATGGGAGAGGAGGTTTTCCTTGTAGCCTGTAGCACCTTCATCCTCAGCTAGAGATTTCTTATGCTCAAAAGGATGCTTTAGCATTTCCCAAAACACATTCCAGATTTGTTGGAGAGGAAGAGGAAAGTCGTGTTTTATGAAGGCACAACCATGCTGAATTTGCAGGAAAAAGGGAAGAGAACAAAAGCAGTACTGCACAACGCAGTTATAATACAAGGCTCATTCTTGAAACCTGAATATCATGCTAGAAGAAAATCTAGATATGTGTAATATTTTGAAGAAGTACTTTGAAGGCAATATTATTTGATTTTTTTTTTTACTCAAAAAAGAATAAATGCTTCTGTGTAAATGTGGAGAGAATGGTGGTCAAGAAGGGAACTGAATGTTTGTATTGCAGCCTTAAAGAAGCACATTTTTACTGCAATATCCTTTTTTCTTTTGTAAACTACAGTCTGCAACTCAGCAGACCATGACTGAATGCTTTTGAAAACTTGTCGATTACAAACATGAAATCACAATTAATATCCTCTAAAAGTAATTTCAGAGTTCTCACGTCTTAAAAAAGGACAATGTGTACTGCTTCACAAGGTAATGCAGCTAATCAAAAAAAAAGGAGGGGAATTAAAGTATTTACATAATGAGCAATTCTACAGAAGGCGATCATCCCCATGTAAGCACGGCTGATTATATCCCACGCTGCTTTTAACAAACTCTACCAGATTGGAGCCAGTCATCAGCACTCTCAGGGAATCCTTAAAAGCCTTTTATGGGTCTTTACATTTAGTGCAGAATGATGTTCTTCAGGTAGAATATGCTACTGAGGGAGGACAGTGTCAACACAAGGTACCAGCAGGAGAAGAGGACTTCGGCATCACCGGTGATCCCATACTGGGCTGTACTGGGAGCTGCAGAGAGAAGGAAAAGGGGTTCAGTGAAAATTCCCACCAAATTCTTAGCTTTCAATAATTCTTCTAAGATAATACTTAGGGCAACAGAAATATTCTCCTGAAAACAGAGAAAACACTGGAAAAGCATCCCAACCCTCCTGTCACCCTGCTCAGGGAATATTCCTGTTTGTTTAAAGAGGATAAATTGTTTTTAAGGCAAGCATTTAAAACTGGCAGTACTTAGTGTCAGATGAGTGTTTCATTTTTAGCCATCAGAATAACTGATCTGTTTCTAAGTTACCGAGCATTAAGATCTACAGTGAAAGCAATGAGAGGGGACTAGATTTAATTCTGTTGGAAAGCAACTCATTTCCCGCCTAAGTCTAAAAGCCAAAGTTTGACAATTTTGCTCAGCCAAAGACATTCCTATGTATTTCCAGTCTCTTTGATGAAATTGTACTTATTTGCTTAACACAAAGTCTTTCTCAAATTCCTGAGTAAATAAAAACTAACATGCAAAGAAAGGGAAAATACAAGAAAAATATAATCCTGAATTCCAGATCTTGTTAAGTCCAAACACTGGAACAGAAATGTCCCTTTTCTGTCTGTACAGAGCCCAGTGCTATGAGCTCTGTTTTTAATGTATGACATTAATGTATGTGATACAACCAAAACCCATTTGGCTTCCCCCCATGCAGAAAGGTTCAGGTAATAAAACCAAAACAAAACAAGATTAAACTTGATTTTGCAGCTTAGTTTAGTGACTGATAACCGTGACTAACTGCAGGACAGGGCACTCTCCTCCTCTCATTAAAAAGGGGCTTTCTGGGTGAAGTCAGTGTGACAAATCAACCTTTAATTTATTACCAGACCCAGGCGAGGCTGCTGGAGCAAAGCACAGGTGCTGTTTCATTTTATGGTATTAAAAGAGTTTCCTCAACTTAAAGATAATTTGAACTATGGTGGCTATAAAAGCCAGCGGAAAATTATGTAAATCTGATTTCCTGCATATGAACCAGCACTGTCTTTCTAAGGTTTATTAAATCATACCTGGATTGTTTCAGCACAAAGGTACGAGGTGAGTTAATGAGGGAAAAAGACACTGACTTGGGCAGATAATAGAGAAGAGTTATGGTTCCCAGAGCTGCCTAACCAGGGGAATTTGATGGGAGAGAAACCTGAAGGAGAAGCAAATCTGGAGAAGTTTAATTATCAATTATGATGTCACAGTAAGCCTACTGCATGACATACAGCTTAAAATATTGTGCTTGGCTCTTAAAAGGTCTTAAAAATTAATAAGCTTCTGCAGCCCTTTTCCACCTCAGAGTATTGAATCACTTTTCTTGTGGCTCCCTGAATTTTTTGATGTTCCTAACTTAATAAAATTCCACAGATTTTTTTTGGTGGTGTTTCACAAACTTGAAAAAGTAAAAGCTTTTACAATTTACAAATTTAAAGGTTCTTAGTGTGGTCTGCTCGGTTCTTCATCTACAAGGAGTAATTATTTTGGTAAGTAATAAGCAGTCTTGCTTCCATGGGCATTTGCACGTGCAAGGGCACTTTGTTCTTGGATTGTTAATTTTCATGGTGTTTTTGATGGTTCTCTGTGTCAGACTAAGCCCTTAGTTTAGGAATAAATGAAAAGGTTTAAACACTTGAAAATAGCATAAAACAGCTGCTTTTTCCCCTCCTTTGAAATCTTACCATGTCATTTTTTCACATACACACACAGTCACAGTCTTAATATTCATGGAGGAAGATAATGGTGCAGGTATGTGTGATTAGGCATTAAATAAAGCTGGAATTATTTGAGTCTGTGATTACATCTGCAGCTATCCTGGGCTTTTACATAATCCCTATCACCACCATTACAACAGAGCATGACATTTAAAACTGATTTTACAGCCTGTGAAGCTTTTGCTGCACAGAGAGGGGAAGGAGCAGTGGTTGGGCTCGAGAGAGTTAAAGATCCTCCTCCAGAACAACATTTTGATGACTCTGCAATAGAAACCAAGGTCAAATGGTCTGGTTCCCCTTGTGCTAACCCTTGTGAAAGGTCTGGAGCACCACAAGTGGCTGAGGGAGCTCAGCCTGGAGAAAAGGAGGCTCAGGGGGACCTTCTGGCTCTCTGCAACTCCCTGACGGGAGGGTGGAGCCAGGTGGGGGTCGGGCTCTGCTCCCAGGGAACAAGGGACAGGGAGAGAGGAAATGACCTCAAGTTGTGCCAGGGGAGGCTCAGGTTTGGCATCAGGTGGAATTTCTTCCTGGAAAGGTCCATGCAGCCCTGGCACAGCTGCCCAGGGCAGTGGTGGAGTCCCCATCCCTGGAGGGATTGAAAAGCCATATGGATGTGGCACTTGGGGACATGGGTAATTGGTGGCTTTAGCAGTGCTGGGGAATGGTTGGACTCGATGATCCGGAAGGGCTTTTCCAACCTCAGTGATTCTGTGATTTTATGAGCTGCAAATTCAGTTCACAGTCCTGGTAGTGATACTTTAAAACACCTTAAAAGACAGTGAATTTCCACCTAGAAGAAGATTTAAATGAGCTTGATGAAAAGTCTGATGTCTGAAATATAAAATGACCCAGGATTTAGAAGGCATAGTAAGTTTAAAACGTCAGCTTCAGTCATGGAGGGGCAATAATTTTCTTTCCTGCTAATGGGTAAGTCATTAAATGTTCCTCAGAGCCTGAGCAGCTGCATCCCTTTGGGTGAGGGAGTAATATCCAGCTGAGCCACACACACAGCAGCACCACTGAAGAGCTGGGAAGAGATCATGGATTCACAGGTTGGTTTGGGTTAGAAGGGATCTGAAATGCCATCTCATCATTTACATGCAGAGTCAGCCCTGTGGAAGGAAAAATCCCATGACTGACCCCAAAGTCCCAGGTGCACATCTAGGATGGCCACAAGCTCTTATCAAGTTCTCTTTTCTTCTAATTTAGTGATTATTCTACATAATCCTAATGTTTTATACCAGCTAGCAGTTGTGAAAATATTTAAGACACCCTTAGCATAGATAGGATTATATTCAGACATCTCTCCTGATGCTGAATAGAAAGGAACAAAGTAATATTATATCAGTATCTCTAATTAATACAAGAGATTAGGAGAAGTGCTGTGCTGGAACACACAAACCAGCATTTCCTAACACCAAGGGCTGCATTAACCAGAAATAATTATAAGCTTTAATGCTGATGCTGTGTAGACAAAAGCACGGACCCCTTTAGGTTGTCTGAATAAGCAAGACTAATTCTGTTAAATGGATTATGCAGGGAGATGTTAATAAGCATTTCATTTAACTATATTCAGGTTAATCATTTACTATAGGAAAGGCTTAATAAATTGGATTTTTTCATGCAACATTTAAAATATCCAGCAAAGGAAGGAATAAACTAACTCAAGGTCAAAGCAGGAAGAAAAAAAAGATGAAAACGACTGAGCTGTCAAAAATGTTCTTTTAAAAGAGAAGATTGTGAGATAATGGGCCTCGGAAGGCTCAGCCGAGTCCTGGGATAACATCTCTACATATTGTTACACTTGAAGTTAGTTGAGGATTTATGGCTGTGCAGGAGAAGGCCGACAGTCTCTAAAAGATCTGTTGGAAGGGAGTGGGTGATAGAGGAGATAATCAGCCTGGAGAGCTCCAGAACAGGCTTCAGAGGGCTCCGACCAAAGGGGAGCTTGTCAAGATGAGAAACATCCCCCTGTGCCTCAGAGGCCAAGGAGGGTTGGAGAAAGCTTGACCTTGGGAGAACAAAACCTTAAAGTCTTGTCTAAAAGTGACTCAGTGAAGACACCGATTTGTTTAGTCTTATGCAAATGCAATCATCCTCCAGGCTGAGAGACAGGAAATTCACTGTGATGGAAAATTCACCAGTGAAGTTAAAGAGATAAATCTGAAGGAGGAGGCCCTTTTGAAGTGTGTGCCAGATGGAGGCTGTGATTAAACAGGGCTTTGACCATGATAATAACACTGGAAAATGCTGAGGATTTTACTAATGTTGAAATGCAGTTGGACCGTGGCTGTGGTGGCTGACAGGTGCATGTGGAGACTGAGAGGGTCCTCTCCAGTCTCATGTTCCTTTGTTACTGGCATGGGGCTTTTTTAACAAAAAATTCCACCTGTAGAGGTCATACCTTGAATCCTGGGGTCAAATTTCAGCTGCTCAGGACAAGAAAGACATTGAGTGGCTTCCTTCCCAGAGAAGGGAATGGAGCTGGGGAAGGGTCTGGTGCACCAGGATTAGTTGAGGGAGCTGGGGGGGCTCAGCCTAGAGAAAAGGAGGCTCAGGGGGGACCTTCTCACTCTCTACAACTCCCTAACAGGAGGGTGGAGCCAGGTGGGGGTCAGGCTCTGCTCCCAGGGAACAAGGGACAAGATGAGAGGAAATGGCCTCAAGTTGTGCCAGGGGAGGTGCAGGTTGGACATCAGGAAAAATTTCTTCCTGGAAAGGGCTGTCCACCCTTGGCACAGCTGCCTAGGGTTGTGTTGGACTCTCCATCCCTGGGGGGATTGAAAAGCCATGTGGATGCGGGACTTGGGGACATGGGTTAGCGGTGTTCTTGGCAGTACTGGGGGAATGGTTGCACTTGATCTCAGAGAGCTTTTCCAACCTGAACAATTCTGTGATTCTGTGAATCCCTGAAATTGTGCAGGGATCCCTGAAAGTGTGCAGCACTGCCCAGGCCAACCTCCCCAGAGCACCTGTAAAATGCACAATGATTCTATATTTTAAATAAATGTATAGGTTTGTCAGAGATTGTTTTATAAGGGATCTACAGTCAAACTATTTCTGTATCCCAGCAAAGAAAGTCAATTGAGGAAACCAGTGCTTCCCAAAAAGTGAAACACTTACGCGATGGTTCACGGGGCACTGGAAAACTTTCTCACTGAGTATAAGGAACTGCTGGATGAGGATGCTCAACACACTGGACATGAGCCACAGCATGAGCTACATCAAATGTTTCAGTCCAGGGAACATCCAAATCTGGCTCAGTTATTGCCTGGGCAGCC